AAAAGTGACGAGATCGACATGAATCTTTGGTGACGAACTACTCGTTACACGCCTAAGTTACTCGTACCAGCATAAGTCAGTCACAAAACGACAAAAAAACCGAAACTATCGCACATTTTTACAGGACATTTTAATCACGGACAGTACATCAACAAAGATCATAACTAAATAGAAAATGAGGATGCAATAATCCAAATAAGCAGCAACAGTTCTCAGGATAGCTCGAATCCTGCATTGGCGCTAATTGCATAAGCCAGTTTACGCCGCAATGTATCGGTATCCTGGTACAGCGGTAGTTTCAGTAAATTCATACACGTGGCAGCTGTTGGCAATTTGTCAACATCGTGCACAAGTTGGATCCCCATCGGCGGGGTCAGCGTCTGCAAAATGCTTTCAGCAAGAACTGAGGAAGCAGCAAATACTTGCTATCACTCAACGAAGAGGTTTCTTGCCTCGGATGGTCACTCCACCTACCAACTCTTATAAGTGAATGTCATTTATACAACTAAATCAATAAATTTACAACAATCAAATTTTGGTGGTTAATATTCATCTATTATTCATCCAACTAACACATTTTCTTATAAGTAGCGGTTAACTACCAGTGTTTTTTTTTTCGACAGTACAACAATCACAACCAGAAGCTGAAGTAATAAAAAACTTGCAGCACAGCGAATCGCATTTCAGGGAAGTACTAAATTTTTCTTTCACTTCTCAACGAATAGATGAAACTTCAGGTTGGCCTAGTAAATTTTTCTTCAGATAGAAGGCGAAATTCCCTAACAAGCATCAAAGTATTTAATTGAGGTATCCAACATGCGATCACTGGTGAAAACAAAATGATCTAAACTGAATGAAGAATGATATAAGATAAATTACTACCTTAAAACCCATAATTGGTGGTCGTGGACAGCCAGTTATGAATTTAAGAAATTTCTTTTTGTCGATTGGCGAAAATTCATTGATTACCAGCCAGAACAAATCCATGTAATGTTGATCATGTTCCGCTAAAAAATACGTATTAACAAACAAAGTCAAAAAAGAAGAGGCTGGCAGCTTGGAGCAGTGGCAAGTAGTCATTCCCAAACACGATTCACTCATTCGTTTCAACGGTAGATAGATATTCGGATGCGAGAAAAGGAATTAAATTCTCCATCAACTTGTTCGCACGCAATTTTCGAAAAAGGAGACCACTGAAGCTTTGCCATAGAATATGCTGTTGGTGCTGGTTACCACTGGCGCAACTTCCCACTGCCTTCATCTTTAGCAGGCAGTGAATACATCACAGAGCAAGAAACGCATCACAAAAACGACAAATTTCGCAGTACTTTTGTGCCTCGGTAATTAGACGACAGTCGTTCTTCCCTTTTCCAGGTGAGCGAGTAAGAGTGATTGTTCGCAGTTCTGATTTTCCTACCTTAAACACTTCAAAGCAACAAGTACTGTTCGAAATCTTGAAAAAAAAAAGCAAGGAGGCATACATTTGATATTATGTACAGTGGTAAATTTCTTGAGCTCATTGAAATCAATCTCGAGATCGACGCCACCAATCAGCATCGAAAGTTCCAGCGGTGAGAACATCCGTAGCCAATCCAAATCAAGTACATTTCTTAGCCCGTTTCGAAACGCCGCTGTCATCGGAGCAAGCTATAAAAATTCCTCAAAAATTATGCAAAAATTAGCCACATAACTCCACATTTTCTTGTTGAACGAACAAGAGATATCAATAAAAGAACTGATATTCAGCAAAAAATTCTATTTTGAGCTATGAATTGAACAAAGTACGAATCCCACTATCTGACGAGAGATTACTATCTGCTAAACACAATCGTTGGTCAGAGCGACTGATTACTTTCTGAATTCTTCCAACCTCCACAACTAAGTACGCCAAGTCAGAAGCGCCATCAACTTCTGGGGAAGCCATCGACGGCTTAGCAGCGAAAAGCAGGTGCTGTGATGCCGCTCCGACTACTTCTCAGTATCTTCTTCTCTAAAGAAAAATGAAACTGGAAGAGGGTGGCGCGAGCTGAATGCAAAAATGAAATTATTCAGTGACTGGTAGCAACAAACTGGAAGTGGGAAATCAGTGAACCGATTTTTTAGAAAATCTCTAGTAGTTTTAATGGAAGGCATGAAATAGCTGGCTAATCTAAAAGGCGAATATGAGAGAAAACTGCCGCTTTTTGGTGACTAACGATGGGTTTTTCAGCTGCTACTCAAACACCATAACCGGCCGCGTATTATAACCGAGCTTTTTGCAGAAAAATGCAAACAAAATTAGAAAATTTCATAATCATGCAAAACTTACACGCTTCGAAAGAAAGTAATTGACGTATAACTGGATATATTCCATTCTGTTATCAGCTGTCACTTTGATGTTAGTTCCATCCTTTTTTAGCTCCACTTTCTTAAAAGAATTGAGAAAGAGTAAACAAAAATTACAGTTTTTCCTAACAAATAACCGGAAGAATAGAAGAAATGGCCGATGTGACAGCTATATGAGAATGTGAAAAGACAGATGACAAATAAGCGAAGCTAAAAGTACAACAGTCACTGATCAGGTCAATTTACGTGAACGTAGCAACAAACTATGCACGGCGGAAAGCAGAAGCACTGCTAGAAGGACCGCAACAACAACTGCTCAAAGTATCAAAGATGCGCACTCGAATGGGATTGAATTTCGCTTCCTTCCACTCATTAGCCGGTGAATTAACGCTAACCTTTGATAAGCCCAAATCGTCAATGATAACGCTAAAGTCGAGATCAAGAGCTTCCACTTCATGAGGCGCACAACGTTTTAGCAGTTTCAAGTTTTT